GGGGATGCCAGTGAGCCAGTGAGCCAGTGACAGGGCAGGATGCAGTTCTGGAGGGGAGAGTAGGGATACTGGCAGCAGACGCCCCAGGGGCAGCTGCCAGTGCTAGCAGCAGCAAAGCCCATGTGGTGTGATGGGATCAGCCTCACGGGCCCCTGGCCGCCAAATCAAGGCACCGCGCAGACATGGGCACACAAGCCGCTCAGTACCGACAGAGACAGGGGCTTGGAAACCAACGGGGACGTGGCCTCACTTCCTGTCCGCTCATCGGCTTCGCTTGCTTGTTCAAACATGCATCTGCTTATGCAGATTATGCCCTGACGTCCTTTCTAGTGTTGCTCCTAAACGAACGCTGTGTGTGATGAGAACGCTTCCATGATGGGACACGTTTATTAACGAGCACAAGCCAGCGCAGCAGGACTAAAAGAAATCAATCAATTAATTCTTATGAAGTCTTTCAAGAACAAAATCATTTTACCTGCATAGGTATTCTGCAGTTTAGGGAGGTCGACAGTTTAAATATTTACCAGTTTCTGATTCTGGTGAAGCAGAAACACACACACACACACACACACACACACATATATATATATATATATATATATATATATATATATATAAATGCACAAATCGGAGACATAGGTGAGAGTGCAGTGAGAGTTAGTGTGATCACTACTAATAATGAATAATATATAAACTATGCCTTTTTTTCCTTGAGATAATCCACGCTTTTTGACGCAGAACACTGGTATCTCTGTGAATTTCGACCAATCAGATAGTGGTGACGCAGCCAGCTCAGTTTGGTCACGTTTTCAGCATTTCTAGTAAGCAGGGTCATGTCAGCGCAGGTGTGGATGAATAATTTACAATGGAGAATTGTAATTTTTTTCAGTACGGTTTGGGTACGGCTCGGTTCTTGGTGCCATTTGTTACACTGCACACATTTGGCAAACTGAACTTAGTCTCATTTTTTAATTCTGAGGAGCCTGAAATCACATACTGACGGCCTGCAGTACCTTCCGGCGTGTGCGCTCCCTGTCCAGACAATCCTGCAGGACCTGCCCCTCCGCGGACATCGGCGGGCCCCCGTCGGACCGCAGGCGGGAGTACCGGGGGAAGAGGTCATCCAGGCCACTGAAGGACAAGGTGGGTGACGCCAGCACCGGGGCACTGCTGAGAGGGGGGGGGCACAGGGTCACGGTCACACCCAGAAGGCACCAACAGACCAGTCCCCAAGTCTACAGCCCCCACAGCAACTTCTGTTCAGCCAAAAGGATCTCCCAGAACACTCTGACAAAGCCTCTAGAGAAACATGCCTAGCATAGCAACTGCAGTGTAATGACACGTTAAAGCAAATTAGACAGCATCAAAGAAAGCCTGCCCACCTGAGTAGGTGCGAGGTGGCGTCGCTATCGAAGGACTCGTCGTCCTTCCCCTGTGTGTCGAGCTGAGTGAACCCAGACATGTAGCTGGCGGCCCCTGCAGGTGGGAAAGGTAATGACAAGCTTAACAGCAGCTTAGCTCTGGCCCTGCTGAAAGCAGAAGGCAGGAAAACAATGTAAGCAAGAGGTGACCATAGGTGTGCATCAGGATGACGACTTTGGCCAAATGCCACCCTCTTGTGGTTGCCTGGAGAAGTTCAAGATAGCACTGCCTTGTTCGGAGCTGGGAGTTTCTCTGGTCATGTGACTCACTCTCTTGCTCTGAGGTCTCCTGTCCCGCCCTCAGCATGGTCTGCAGGTGACGCCGTACGCTCTCCATGTCCTGGATGTGCTCCCTGCCATTCTAGAACCGAGACACACACCAAAAAGCAACATGAATTGTTTTCCTCTTATTCTAGTTACATATACATATTTATGTACAATGATACACTTACTCTAAGGTGATATATTGTCACTACCACTATATTATATTAAAAAAAAAAACAAAGTCTCTCAACTGTAAAACATCACCTGCGTGCTACTACAGAGGTGGATGGAGGCACAAGAACAGTTTCTTCCCACGAGTGATCACACTTATGCTCCGCCCCTACCCCGCCCCACCCCCTTAACAAGCAAAACCTCATTGATGTAAATGAGTCACTGTACTTATTGTATTGTTTCACACATATTGTGTATTGTTTGTACGTATCGTATTTATACCAACAGTCATTGCTCTGATATGCACTCCAGGAGTTTCTATACATTTACAAACAATGCATCCACTTTGTATATATCAATCGGACTAAACTTGACCGTTGTCTTGTCCCTTGTATGTGGATATGCAGAATCTTGGGAACAGAGTCCACTCACTATGATACTTCTGGAAACTTCATGAAATATTCTCCTATTGTCTGACTTTTGTGCTAAATGTCGTACATATAAGTATAATTAATCCTTTTTGGAGAAACACAAAAAAATTGAGCATCTAAAAGTACTGAAAAGGTTTTTGGGCCACACTGCAACCTATAGTCCTAGGTGCTTACCAGTACTGAGGCAGAGCTGTTGTCCACACTGGTCTGTAGACTATGGCTCATCTTCTCTGCCAGCTCCCCCAGCTCCAAGTCTTCATCTATTGCTCTCACAGTCCCCTCAGCAGGGTCACCAATGTTGGGGGAGAGGGAAGCTGGGGTGCTGGATTCGGCCCCCTCTGGCTCCTCCAGCTGTCCCAGAAAGTGTGCAGGGGTAGCCTTCATCCACGCAGCAGAAATGTCACTGGTCAGACTGGGCGATGAGAGGCTGAAAGTCACCTGTCTGGGAGACAGATGCAGAAGGGGGGATATTTAAAAGACAATGGTCCGTGGCCTTTCCAAAACTCTAAAGAAGAAGCATGAGAAGTTCAATAAGACCAGGGTTTCCCAGCCCCACCTACTCAGGGACCCTCAAACAGTCCATGTTTTTGCTCCCTGCCAGACAGTCCACAACTTTTGCTACTGGGAGCTGGAAGAGAGCAAAAATATGCAGTCTGGGAGTCCCCAAGGACTAGGTTGGGAAACACTGACATAGCCTACACTAAGGGACACACCTGGATCTCTCTGTGGGGTCAGTGACAAGGCGACCAGTCAGACCAGCCACGCCCAGCTTCTCGCTGCTCTTCAGTGAGGCATAGAGTCGGGCAGTGACCTGGCTGGAGGGGGGCAGGGTGGAGAGGGGTGACGTGGGCCAGGAATGAGCCAGGGACGGCTGCCATTTCTCTGACAACGAACGAGAGGCCTCTGCCAGGGATGGGGGCAGGAAGGAGGGAGGAGGCGATGCACTCGGGGATGCAGGCAGAGGCTCTACGTCACTCAGCAGGTCTTCCTTCTTCACCGCTGACATTATCGCCTCACATTAAACGTCACCAATCATAAAAAAAGTTAGATGTAACTAAATAAGATGCATACACCAACTCATGCTCATGGTGGCTGGACTTCAGTCACAGCGACAGTTTATTTCCACAAAGCTCAGCGATAGGTTGGTAGTCAACCGTTAGGAATAAATCGATTTATAAGTATCAAATCCATATAATTTGCGCATGCTTTACTGACAATAATATTTCAATGACAGCAAAGCGATTAATCAGTTTGCTAATACATGCTTATTGTAAAGTTCGACTAATAATAACTAACCATAATAAACAAAAACTTAGCTAGGTAAACCATAAAAAGATGCCACAACTAAATCCACGCGTTTTTTAGATTTTAAGTTATGGAGCCAGGTAACTAGACAGTACTGTAACGATGTAAAGTATGAAAGGATCTGCATATTAGTAGTCTCCTACTATCTACAGTTCTAGCTAATTAACGGGCTATGGAGCTAGCTATTACATTTCCATCGCACATCGGTGGAGGGAAACACTATCTCCAACCAATTAAATCTTGTTGCTTACCGGTAACAAGTACTATCCCGGAGGAGTAAGTTGTCAAAAACTGCCTGGTAACCTACCACTGAGGCTAAATCCCCAAGCGAAATATCGGTTATGGGCAGGAAGGGTTCAGTCCATTTCAAACGCGGCATAGCAACCGCGCATCTCAACGACGTGCTTTCGTCATCAAAAAGGGACAGGAGGTTTTCGGCCTTTTTCCTTTTTAAACGGAGGACTTGAGGGGACTTTCCTATTGAAATTTCAGACTAGGAATTCGGAATTTCCGAGTTACGAGTTCAGTTGGAACGCAGCATAAGTGTGGTATAACTATCTTAAACCTTATGATGTGAACAACAAAGATTAAATGAAATATTCATGATAATATATCAAATACATTCCGCGTAGTGGTTTCCGAACCGTTGAGGTCTCTTTGGCTAGTTACCAGTAGATGGCGCGCGCGTTTGTTTAGTGAATGCATGTACAGTACTTCATCCATCCAATACTATTGTATGATTTTTCTTAGCAATCACGGATCATGTTTTCCTTTGGTACTGATTTTAGGAAAATAATAAAACGATATGAGGCAGAGACAAAATGCACTATGGAATTTAATATCCATTAAAACAATTAGCAATGCTACAAGACATGAAGAAAAAGACATTTTAATCAAACTTTAAAAGGAAATTTAACAGACTTTCAATAACAACATACTATAGATACACATACAATAGAGTCATCCACTAATCTTCGGACTGCTTATTCATATTCATTGAGTCAACAGATCCGTAATATATTTAACAATAATATCATCAATTTGGTTTGGTGTAAGTAAATCTTGTTACTGGATTTAAATATCACCATGCTTTTATTAAATATGTTTTTTACTTGTCCTCTTTTATATCAGCTCCTACAACTTCAAATCTCTTATAGATGAGCTGTTATCTACAATCCTGCAGTTTTCCAGGCAGATCTCCTTCTTCAGACAACGGAAGCAGAACCAGATACGGCAGTCTGGACATTTTAGGTTGCGACATCCCCTTCCCATGTGGGAGACTAACGCTTTGCATCCAGGACACACACGGAAGAAGGGACATCCCACCACAGATGCCCCAGGGACCGTGATGGTCTCGGGTGAGAGGAGGGCTGCCCGCAGCCCACACTGTGGCAGGGAGCAGATGCTTTCCAATGCGGCTTCCTTCGGCCATTCCCGCCTGCAGGTCCAGCAGAACTGGTAAACTCGATGCAGCTGCTTGGAGCAGGGTTTGCACACAGTACGCACGCCACAACTTCCTTTCGAACACCAGCTCTGGCATCTAGGACACTGAAGGAGGACAGTCACAGAATTCGATGCGATCAAAAAATCAGCATCACATCCATGATTACACATTACCACTGGATATTTCAATACTCAATTCTATAGATTAATCTTATATGCAATTATAATGAAAATAATTTTATTATCTCTTGAAAAGTAAATATAAACACACTTATATGGTTACACGAAATATTGTTTACGACATTAGTTTAAAACTGTCAAGCGCATCTAAGTTCTCAGTTACTTCTCCGTCGCACGGGATGTTTCGAATGCTTCTTCATGCACGGTGTGGTATTGTACCATGTCAATGCATTATTGCATATTTCATATTGCACATTACCATGAAAAATGTCAGACTCGTAACTTTTGACCGTTGGCAGCCGACTGATTTCTTGTCTTTCCTCTGACATTTTTCTATTCCATTTTAATAGGTATTGCCAAAAATACAGTACTACGGAAGCCGAGAACGGCTGTGCTTGCAGTTACTTTTAATGCCATTATCGCAAGATAACGAGATCGTTTTCTTTGAATAATTAAAATGATAAACACATTGTGACGCTACGAGGCCACACGCAGCGATATTGTCTATGCACTGCTGAGCTACTTAATGTGTGCATCTGTGTATTTAACATTGAAAGTGTTCAATCCGTGTAGTGTTTTACCATGAAGTGCTGTCATGTCCTGTCTCTAAGTTACATTATGGTCCTAGGAAAAGCTACGTCACACCACTGTACACAAAATGCGTACGACATAATAATAAACATACTTAGATTTGATATAAGCAAACCTTCACACCTACATTCATATCTACACACATTGTCTGAATCCTTGGGGATTACTCCACTAAGCGAAATGTGCTATGCCTGACACACATCTACACAATGGTTAGAGGGATATTATGGATATTATCTATACAAACGCATTTGTAGATCTGCAGCGGCAGAAGTGCCAAAATAACTAGTAGAAAGACAGCCAACTGAGAGGTTCGTCTGAGTTATAACTGATGACTTGTCGGCATATAGAGCTCTTGGAGCAAAATACTTTGACTTTTTAGCCATTAATACCTATTTACGCAATTACAGAATTGAGATAGTCACATAACTCCATACACATTTGCAAATAATTTTGTTGTAAGTAGCCCCATATTCACAGCGCACATGTACAGAGTATGTGACAAATCCAACTTCGGGAAAAAGTATCGCTACCGCCACTCCGCCTTAATATTTGATGGTTTTTAAGTACCTGAGCTTGGTTTCCATTGTGATTCTCAGTCACGATGTTGTTCTGTCATGACACGAAGAGAGGAAGTCACGTAATCATAGAATAGGGTAAAAAGGTACAAAAAACAATATTGGCTACATGGTCTGACCTGCTGACGATGTTTAATTACTCACCATGACTCCTATCGTCTCTTCGGAATAGTCAAAGCTTCGTCTGGACCCAGCGATTTCTGACTTTAACGCACTTTAACTCCAAATCCCCAAATTTGAAGCTGAAGAAACGCAGTTTACTCGGCACATAGTAAAAGTAAAAGGAGCTGAAAGGAATTTTCTGCAGTTTCACTTTTGGTTTAAATTCTTTCTTCACCAGCGCCACATCAGTGAAGTTATTAACTGACTTGGATTTCTTATCTTGATATGCACTCACACATTGGTTATTTCACTATCCAATATAAACGGTTCTTCATAGTTTCAGGCGGACCAGCGTAACCTTGCGATTTCATGTTCTTTTAGCGTGGGGTCCGTACTTTCCCTAAAGTCTAGCTTTAAGGGGTCATGGGGAAAACTGTACGACATTAAAACATGCTTTTGTCCTTACATTTATTACTGATTAGCTACAACCGGTATGAAGGCGAACCACAGACTCATGTGATTTTCAAAGTCTGAAGAATATGAAACTTGTAAGCAACTAAGGGCCGTCATTTATGATTTGAACTGACTATAAGTTGTAATTTTTTACATTTTAAATGGTCCCTGAGTGAACGCATTAATATCACGCTACCGATATAAATTACTTTTCTAAATCACGAAATCTCCGCCCCCTCCCTTTTAGTGTGTCCCCTGCTTACTGGCGTGGTTTCCAGGTTTACCGCAAAGTGTATCGGATAATCAGTTGTGAAAAATGAACGTCATAAACTAAAGCTTAATCAAGCGTGAAAAAGTCAATTACTATTTACAGATAAATAAAATCACCTGAAGTGGAAAAAATACAAAAAAAAAACCACAGAAGAACAGTACCAGTAAATGAATGTATACAGATGCAACAAAATAAAACACCCTCTGTTCAGTACTTTCCGCTTCAGCTTTGCTCCATTTGTGTCGATTTTTAAAAAGACAATAAGATGTCCTTAATTTGTAGAAAAGCTGAAGGGCAGTTGCCCTCGAACCCGACACACCCACACCTCCACAGCCCATCAGCTGCTGGTCAGACTGTGAGCTTCGTGTTGCGGAAGCTGGAATTATCCCTGTGGGAAAGCAGAAAGACTTAAATACAGAGTGTATGAAGTTTCTACAGACAAGTACAGAAATGAGTATGAAAACTGATACAAAGAAGAATACGTATAGAAACAGGCAAGGACATATAGTGCGAGTGCATATATATATAAACCACACCAGTATAAATGAATCTACGTGTATGGCGAGTGACAGCGAACAACGTGAGACGGTAACAGTAATTAATATTCTTATTATGCTTCCATTCTGTATGTTTTTTTTTTTTTTTCGTGCACATGCACACGCATGTTTCTGCGCAGCCTCACCTGAGGCTGTCGTTGTGGGTCTTGTACTCCATGATGGTGTTGGGCGGAAGATTGAGAATCCGACGCAGAGTGTCCCGGATACGAGAGGTCGTCATGTGGTCATTAGCCGTCCTGTTCCAGATGGACAGGATGTCCTCCTGTAGGACCATCACAGATTTGACAGAAGGAAATTAAACTGTAGATTCTACAGCCGTGGTCAAAAGGTTTGAGAATGACACAAATACAAATTTTCACAAAGTGTCCTGCCTCAGTTTTTGGAATGGCAATTTGCATGTACTCCAGAATGTTATGAAGAGTGATCAGATTGATTGCAAAGTCCCTCTTTGCCATGAAAATTAACTTAATCCCAGAAATCCCATTTCCACTGCATGTCAGCCCTGCCACAAAAGGACCTGCTGACATCATGTCAGTTGATGAGGACAAGGCTGGAGGTCACTCTGTCATGCTGTATGAGTTAGAATAACAGACTGGATGCTTAAAAGGAGGCTGGGGCTTGAAATCATTGTTCTTCTTCTATTACCCCTGATTACCAGCAAAGAAACATGTGCAGTCATCATTGCATTGCACAAAAAAGACTTTGCACAGGCAAGGATATAGCTGCTAGTAATGTTGCACCTAAATCAACCATTTATCGGATCATCAAGAACTTCGAGGAGAGAGGTTCAATTGTTGTGAAGAAGGCTTCAAGGCACCCAAGAAAGTCCAGCGAGCGCCCGGACTGTCTCCTAAAGTTGATTCAGCTGCATGATCGGGGCACCACCAGTGCAGAGGTTGCTCAGGAACGGCAGCAGGCAGTTCTGAGTGCATCTGCATGCAAAGTAAGGTGAAGATTTCTGGAGGATGACCTGGTGTCAAGAAGGGCAGCAAAGAAGCCACTTCTCGCCAAAAAAAACATCAGGGACAGACTGATATTCTGCAAAGGGTACAGGGATTGGACTGCTGAGGACTGGGGTAAAGTCATTTTCTCTGATGAATCCCCTTTCCGATTGTTTGGGGCATCTGGAAAAAAGATTGTCCTGAGAAGAAAAGGTGAGCACTGCCATCAGTCCTGTGTCATGCCAGCAGTAAAGCATCCTGAGACCATTCATGTGTGGGGTTGCTTCTCAGCCAAGAGAGTGGACTCACTCACAACACAACACAGCCATAAATAAAGAATGATACCAAAACATCCTCCCAGAGCAACTTCTCCCAACCATCCAAGAACAGTTTGGTGCCTTTTCCAGCATGATGGAGCACCGTGCCATAAGGCAAAAGTGATAACTAAGTGACTCGGGGAACAAAACAACAACTTTGGGTTCATGGCCAGGAAACTCCCCAGACCTTAACCTCATTGAGAACTTGTGGTCAATCCTCAGGAGGCGGGTGGACAGACAAAAACCCACAAATTCTGACAAACTCCAAACATTGATTATGCAAGTATGGGCTGCCATCAGTCAGGATTTGGCCCAGAAGTTGATTGACAGCACGCCAGGGCGAATTGCAGGGGTCTTGTAAAAGAAGGGCCAACACTGTAAATATTGACTCTTTGCATGAACTTAATGTTACTGTCAATAAACGCCTTTGTCACTTATGAAATGCTTGTAATTATACTTCAGTATACCACAGACACATATGACAAAAAGATCTACAAACACTGAAGCAGCAAGCTTTGTGAAAACCAATACTTGTGTCATTCTCAAAACCTTTGGCCACAGCTGTAAGCATCACAGTGCACAATTTATACTTCTAATTTATATACTAGAACTGCATCAATACTGCAATTAATCATTAGATTGTGATTCAGTTTGTCACAATTTTTCAGCAACACTTTGAATCTTTGCATCAATTTAGTAATTTATTTCAGTGCCATTTAACACTGCCTGTAGAGATCATTTGCCGATTAAAAATAAGCTGTTTATGTAGCCAAGTGTCCTGCAATGGAAACACAAAGTGACTCCCTCTGAAATGTTAAAATACAAGTCAGATGTTGCATAATGTTTTTTCCCCCACTTTTGCCATTTAAAAAACAGAAGTGTGTACTTTATGTATGCACAAAGGTATAGTTTTTGCAACTGGAGTTGAAGTACAACTTTATTCAAGATACTGACTTGGAGTAAAAGTTTGCAACTGTCTGCTAACTAAATTTGGCCTGTTTCAGGTTTTAATCGTACCATCATCAGAATACAATGGTAATACAGTGATGCATTGAATCATGACACTGGTATTGTGTTGAGTATTGTATCATGGGCTACCTGACAATACCCAGCCCTATTAAATGCATGTTTGGAACAAACTGATTTATAGTATATCAGTACTGCAGAGTAAATATATCTAAATATATTTAATGACTTTAATTTGATAATTGTAGGTAAACGTCATCATCCTTAATCAAAGGATTCATCAGCGATCCCTGTGCAGCCCAACTATCAAAAGCAATTAGGGCCATCAGTCGTCATTTTCCTTAATTACAGCGACTGTGGCCGAGTCAGCTGACTAGGACCCAATGTGCTGATATCCATGTATGACTTCAGGACAAGGCTCAGCTTCTGACTTCAGCTCAGCTTCCTTTTCACGTCAGAATCCCCACCTGAAAGCGGACAGACACCACGACGCCGCAGATCTCCTCTCCGACCATGAACTGCTCGCCCAGCATGGCCAGGATGATGTTCTCCCAGAAGCGGGAGGCCAGCCCCTTCCTCAGCCGGATGATCCACTTCCCGCCACTCCTGTTGGCTTTGTCCTGGAGGAGGGGGCGAGGCACGGAACGTCACTTGTACGAGAACCGTCACAAGAGCGAAAAAGAACCAGGCCATAGCCTCATTCTTACAATCTAGCATCATCCATCATGAAGTGAAAATGATTGTCATTGTTGACACACCACAGTGCACAACGAAATGTGTCCTATACATTTAACCCATATGTGACATAGCAGTGGTAAGCTATTATTTAGCCCCTGGGGAGCAGTGCTTGGGGGTGGTACCTTGCTGGTTGGGGATTTGAACCAGCAACCTTTCAATGACAAGCACGCTTCCCTAAGCATTAGGCCGACATCCACATATCATATGTGTTTACAAAGTGTGTTTAATAAGTTTACATGTGTTTAAAGCATGTTTTGGAGGGGTATTTTAAGGCTTAAACTATTAAAATGTTTATTTATATGGTGTTTCTATATCGCGGATTTTCACCAATCGCTGATGGGTCTGGAACGCAACTTCCGCGATAGGCAGGGGATCACTGTAATAATAATTGACACTTTATTGATCCCTGTGGGGAAAATCTCTTTACGCCTCCCCCAACTTGCTCTTTGTAGACAAGAGTACACTGGCTGTGAAGGGCAGCCACTTGTTGCAGCCTGTTTGAACCCCTGACCCTCTGATCACAGGCTTAGCCCACTGAGCCACATGCTGCCCCCTTAAACTGTGCTATTAATTGTTACTGAAATTATAACTTTAAACCAGTTGATACGATCATAACTTTACAGAGCGGACATGGTTGCTTAGCTATCACACTTCACATCTCATGTATTGATCCATGTGTAAGTTCTCTTAGAAGATAAAAAAATAAAGAGCACACTGAGCAGCCCACATCAGTGATGCAGAAATGTCCACTACTCATCAACAAGCTGGCGGTCACACCAGCAAACTTAGCCACCACTCACAGGACAGCGGTAATGTCCTGCAGCTTGGCAGACCCCAAACAGAGGCTCTGGGGCAGCCACTGGAAGCTTGTACTGATCAAGTCCGTCAGGGTGCCTCCTCACCTCCCACATGGGCTTGATGCCCTCCTTAAAGAGGTGGAAGTCACTGTGACCTGTCAGATCACCAGGCCGGACCAGATGACTGTACAGTTTCCAGAACTGCTCCACCTGGAACAGATCACATGAATATATCACCTCGACAGGATTCCCCATCTCTACATTAGATCCCTCCCCCCTTTTTTCTCCATGTACTGACCGAGGCCACAGTTCCGATCTGCCGGATATTATCCTCGTAGCTCTGTGTGATTGCGGGGCGACTCTGCGTGCGGCGTGAGAACCAGAAGGTATAGTTGTACTGAAGACGGTGCTCCCCCACTCCAGGCGTGACCGTCTGCAGACAACGGGATTCATTACATCGTAACTCACTTTCATTTAAATGCGAGTAACTGCTCAAAACTAGCAATGATAAGCTGGGCTGGGACATCAAAACTATATTTAATACGACGAAGCAAAGTATTGTTTATCGTCCGTGTATTTACCATTGTGTCCATATATCCTGCTATAATAACAATCTACGCCTAAAAGGTTTAAAATTTAAGAAAAGTAGCATACATTCCGAATGAGACAAACACACTTACCTTCCTCGGGACGTTACTGTTGACTGAAGTGCGGTCCGCCTCCGTTACTTCGTGTCTGTTGACTACCGGGTGTTCGTGGTTTCCATTGTCATCACCATCCAAACTGCAATACCTTAAAGCAAATCATGCATTTCACAGTTAGATTGTACGACATTTTCTAGACCATTTACTTTTTATTCCAGTTAATCTTGCAGCTCATTTTCACTCTAATAAAAGACGCCGTTGCCTGGGCGCGCTGTATCACGTGTACATCCTACAGCAAAAACCATATATCGAAATAGGCTTAGATAAGGTGAGTTCGATCTGGATCTAATCTTCCCTCAGACACCGAAGGCACCCAGCTGGCTGGAGAACTTACTCGTCAAACTGACTCATTTTCAGACGTCTTCCTTAAATGTTCACAAGTTGTATACACGGCTAAACCGATTTTTCTAGAACAATCACCTAATTATATCGATTTAATTCATGGAACATTTATGTGGCGCGAGAAAAAAGTTCATTAAAAGTTTGATTTAAAAAAATCTCGTGTCCAGTTCTAAAACTGACAAACCATTCATTACGCAGTCACTGTCAATACTACGTGCAAAAGTGTGAGGACGGAAAGCAGCGTAGAACAAACTTAACAAGAAGAAACGCGTGTGCGGTAACGACCCACAGGCCGGTCTACGGAAACCGCAAAGTATATAGATTTTTCCGTTACATAATACTTAAAGGGTTCTTTTTCTGAAATTAGTTTTCCATTAAATGTATATAACATATATTACATATATAACATACTGTATGTGTTGCCGAATTATTTCAAAATTCCTGTTAGCCTATATGTTGGGTAATGCTCAAAACATTGTCAGTCGTTTTAAAAGACAAGAAAAGGTAGACCTACAAAATTTATCCACGGATTGTGTATAGATTATAATAAATATATTTGTATGCGTGCATGACACATGTGGTTGCTTAGTAAATAAACAGTTTAAGATGTAATATTGCCTGCCGAATACTAATTACACTGATGAAAAGGGTACTTTCCCTAATCCTTCATCCGATTGGATCAGAGCCAAAGACCGATTAGCAAACAACTGAATATGGTTCACATAATTATGCCCTTAGTTTCAATACTACATTACCATTTTGTGCCTAGAAAATTTTAATTTTAACGTATCACTTACAAAAACATTTTACAGTGCTTTCATAATCTCCACACAGGTAAATGTCGAAAGACCACAAAATACACCCAATAATTTATCAATGAAATTTTTTTTTTTTTAAATTCAATGCAGTTAGACCCGTGGAAGTCTCACAGCCTTAAGAATGAGAATTCAAAGTCTTTGACGTTTTTCTGATTATTCTTCGCTGACGGGGAGTTGAAGAGAACAAAATGCTGTGAACAGCATCCATTTTAGCCACTACGAATCCTGCATCAGCTACGGGGACTCTACACGAGGTTTCCAGATATTTACAGACTCTGAGCTGCAAAACAACCCTGTAATACACACTGTCTAAAACTGGCCCAACTACATATGATTTTTTTTTTAATTAATGTGTTAGCCACGCAGGTTAGAAAAAGGAAAATTCTAGAAAAATACACTTTAATATCACTTTACCACATGCTTTGCTATTTTTAGAAGGAAAGAGTGCATTCAAGCACTTTTTGAAAGTCTGACCTCAGTCCCAAGAAATGATAAATTGGTTAAATTAGCTTATTGGTTGAAATTAACATCCTAGTCCTTAAGAACTCAGGTACACTGAATTTCAGCACCAGGGTTAGGAATCATGTATATTATTGTGTATATTGAGATTATTTAATGACTTTTAATAATAGATAAAAGAATGAAAACTTGTCTTGCAAAGTGGACAAATTGGACCCTATTTCATTTCTGTGTAAAAGCTGGCAGTTGACAAAACTAATTAGTTTCATTGGAGTCTGTAAGACTATGCAAACGAGTGGGATACTTTTAGGATTTTGTTTCTAGAAACAATCTGCCTCTTAAACTCTGAAGTGCCATTGGGGGAGTTAAGAAGAGACAGAGAAAGCGGGGGGGGCGCTGTCTCTGATGAGAGTCAGAGTGTGGGAGAGAGCGGATTTGGAAGGTGGATGCTGTCCGTCAAACAGGGATTTAATCTTCCAGTGAATCCTCAGCTTCTCCTCCAGCTTCCCCTTGTCTCCTCACCATTTCCCTGTTTTCTTCTTGTGAAAATGTCAGTATTCTCCCTGACAGCTGCTCCATCACCTCACTGTCATGCCTGGTAGCATAAAATACTTTGATTAATGACAGTCACCGCAATTCACTTTCAGGCGAATGTTCAGCATTTCACCACACAAAAAACAGCAGCAACATAGCTAACACTTAACATATGATTTTTGACAAACCCTGAGAGCAAATGATGGATTTTACAGTTCACATAAAGCATAAAAATTGTCAGAACATTAATTTTGTTGTTAATAAATTATAAAAACATATATTGATTTCACAGATTTCTTCTCTGTTCTTCTTCATACTCTCTTGAGTATGATCTACTCAACATTTCTCTTCCCATTGGCTAAAGTAAGCACAAATTAACAATAAGATAAATAATAATTTAACAAATAAATATTTTAAAGGAAATCAGTTGGAAAAAGGGCAATTGTTTTTGTTGGAACATTCCTATGGTGTCTGTTTGTCTGACTTGCTAACACATTTGCACGCACACACGCACACACACACACACACACACACACTTGGGCCACTCCACACACGCTCTCCAGCTGAAGAGCCTCCACGCTTCTCCCTCTTCAATTGATGGGCCAAAGAAAAGGGGGATGAGGACAGGCTGTCAGACAGACGAAAAAAAGACGCTTTCCTCGTGCCCCCTCTCCATCCTTCATCCCCCTGAGAGAGAGGGAGGGGGGACAAAAACAATGTAACCGCTACCTCTCCACTGCCACTTCTATCTCCCTCCTCAGTCTTTTCCTTCTGCTGATCCAACTTTGTCTCTTTATCCATCAGCTAAGTCCCATCACGGGGGGGGGGGGCAGGTCCTGAGGGCAAACCCCCCCCCCCCCGATATCTGTCAGAACGGTGTCGCTCTGCTCCCAGAAACACAATCGAGGGAAGACTGATCCGTTCCTGGAACCATCGGCATCAACCAGCAACTGAAAAACACCCAGTGTCTCATTCCATGTGCAAACTCCAGTGTGTTAAACTTTTATGCTGTTGTATAAGTACAGTGTGGTGAGGTTTTCATTCTTTCAAAGACTCCTATCCATGTATAAGAAAATAATTATGAAAACCCGTTATTGCTATTGCTACATTAGGCTACAAGTTTCACTACAGGCTACATCAAAATTGTCGTATTCATCAGGAGAGCGGAGTTATTGGATTGTATGTCACCCTCCAATCCAAGCCTGGCAATTATCTCCCATGGAGGAAAATCTGAGCTTTGCATTGTCAGCAGGGGCCATTTTTAATGATTATTTTCATGTCCCATAAAAGCTACAATAATATACTTAGATTTAATTTTTTGTAATTCAAAAAAGATTTGTGCGCAAATATTTCTTCACCATCATAGACTTCAGCATAAAACTTTACCCATTTTTTCCATTTTAAGAATTGCATGGGCTTTTCTGCTGAAAACGTATAGCTAGCTGTAAAAGAAGGATATATATGTATACACACACACACACACACACACACACACACACACACACAACAAGTCCTTGTTTAGCAGCTAAGTTCTGCTCCAATGACCAAATTATTAATCAAAATATTTGCTAAGTGAAAATCACAGTGCGCTTATGACTTCAATGCAGCAGGTAAGAAGACAGAAAAATGTGTTTAGTCAGTAATTAACGATATTGCATTGCATTGTATTTAGCTAAATTTGATGGATTTTCAACACATTAATAATTCATTATCCCTGATGCGCTAGTGCAGCATCTGAACCACTAGCACTAACTGCATGCCAGCGCCAGGTATCCTGCCTGCCAGGCACCTGCAAATCAGACGGCATGCACGCGCATTCCTTCACGATGCACCGGCGTGCGACAAACCTGGACATCTGTCCCAACTTTCTAGCATCCAGCCCACCCAGCCTCCCCCCGCCCCCACCTACTAACTCTATTTCCCTGGGGTTGGCTGGGGATTAAGTCCATGTCAAGAGCAGAAAGGACAAGTGTTGCGCTTTTTTCCATAAGCTGTGGGAACAAGGGGTGAGAAAGACAGAATAGAATTAGAGGCAACAGATGCATGGTTCTTGTTCGTCCTCCATAACCCTACCCTCGGCCGCCCCCACCCCCGACCCCACCCCGACCCCACCCCTTATTCGTGTGTGGCCCAGGAGCTTTTCCCTCCGGCCTCCTCTCCTTCTCTAATTGGATGCTCTCATGTGGATCTTATAGCTGTTGGTCATTCCTTGTTCCATGGTCACAGCAAAAGCGATTGTGGATCTTCTCTAAACCCCTCAAAAACATTTCCTAGATCTACTTATCAGTTTGTCCTGTGTTTTTGTACAAATTCATATGGATTTTATAGTAGGACACCCCCCCCCCCCCC